CAAAGAGACGGTCCTCCTGTGGAGGGGTTTTGACAGCGCGTGCCCGCTACATATCGGGAGCCTCGACGGTGCACAAACAGACATATCATAGGATCCACGCTTGGCTCTATCACAGAGCGCCCATGTCTGCGTTGGCAAGTATGGATCCGGTGCCGAGCCAGGCGCATGAGCACGCACGTGCTGCGCGACCAGGCTCACGCGCCCCATGAAAGACTGCGGACGTTTCAAGGCATTGGCCACGCATCCCCACAGACGCAACACAGTACGTTGCACATATTGAGGCAATGAGTTGCAAATACTGGGAACCAATAGTATGCCTGGGTGCAACATGCCAGCACATGCCGCACAAACCGCACGTGCAACCCCCATCCCTCCATTTCCGCCTGATATCCCGTCCACATGTTTTATATATCCTTCCCTCCCCTGCCGCCCCCGTTCGCCCCCCCCCTCCCCGCCCTCTCTCAACTTCCCCCTCCTCCGCCCCCCTCCTCCTCGACCCCTGGCCCAGCTCGCCCTCGCGGCGGAGTGCATTGTGCAGCGCGTCGCCAGGCGAGGGAACTAAGGGAGGGAGGGGGGAGGAAGGGGGGAGGGGGGAGGGGAGAGAAGGGGGGGAAGGGAGACAGGGCGAAAGACGCACACAGGGAGGGGGGCGTGGGAGAGGAGCCAGAGGAGGTAGGAGAGATACGGGGGGAGCGGGGGAGGGAAGGAATGTCGGAGGCAGGGAAGGAGAGGAAGAAACGAGGGCAAGGGCGATGCGGGCGAGGGGAGCTAATGCGAGGGGGGAGGGATGGGAGGGAAGGGGCACTAGGGAGGGAGGGGGCGAGGAAAAGCGAGGAAAGCGGGGGGGGGAAAAGAGGGCAAGGAGGAGAGACAGAGAAGGTGGGGATGTTGTGAGGACAGCGGAGAAGTGGACAGAATGGAAAGAGGGAGATGGCGAGAGGCCAAAGTGAAGAGCAAGGGAAGAGCGGCGAGGGGACGGCGAGGGAGGGAGAGACACGAAGGAGTAAGGAAGGAGGAGAGGATGGCGGCGGAGTAACGGGGAGAAGATCGGGAAAGACCAGCCGGCCTGGACTCCCGCGGCACCTGCGACAAAACCTTGCCCTCCGCCCCCCAGCGAGGCCCAAACTGCACTCGCGCGGCTTGCGGGGGCCGCGCGACTGTCTTTTGGGGCTCGCCCGGGGCGGATCCCCGAATGAAAATTTCGAAAGTGCGGGCCCGGAGCTCGTCGCGGTAGGGTATCATTTGGGCGCGCCCCAAACCGGAGGCTTCCGTGACGACCCCCCCCGGGACCCCCGCCCGTCTGTCTTGTTTCCCGACTTGTGCCTAAACCGGAGGCTTCCGTGACGAGCTCGGGGGGGCCCGGGCGCAACCTAAACCGGAGGCTTCCGTGACGAGGGGGCGCCCAAACCGGAGGCTACCGTGACGACCCCCCCCCCGGAGGTTTCCTGGTCGGGGGCCCTCGGGGGGGCCCTCTCGGGGCCCTCCAGGCCTTCCAATGCAATCTCGGAGGGCCTCAAGAAGGCTTCAAGAGAGCCTCAGGAGGGCCTCAAACTTTCAAATATATTGACAAACTTTGAAGCTCTCTTGGAACCGTCTTGAGCCCGCTTGAAGCCCTCCGGATCGCACTGGAAGGCCCTGGAGGGCCCGGGCAATGCTCCAAGAGGGCCCCTAGAGGGCCTCAAGACGGCCCTCAGCGAGCCCCGCGAGGGCCCCAAGGGGGCCCAAGAGATACCCAAGAGGGCCTCTTGCGGACGACCACTTGCGTATATGAACACTGCTGTCCATGACCACTCTCGTATTCAACTGCTATTGTATATCACCCCTCCCGCCTGGCTCATCCCTTCACCCTCATCGCTCCTCCTGATGATCAGGGCAAGTCGCCTGGTGATTTTTTGGACGGGCTGGTGGGGGTACGCGGAGCGCCAACAATTTCTGGAAGCCTGCCTGAGGGCTCAAGGGAGCCCCAAGTGGGCCCCGTGAGGCCCACAGGAGGACCTCGGGAGAGCCCCGCCTGGACCAAGAAAATCCAAAATTAGGATGCGCGCTGCATCCTGATTCAGGAATGTCTCGGGGTCCACTTGATGCCCCGTGGGGGCATTCTCCGAGACTTCCTGAAACCCGCCCGAAGCCGGAGGGAGCCCGTGTCACCGAGAACTCGCTAATGCGGCTTTAATAAAATCTAGTCACCCCCCAAGAGGGCCCGAATCCAATATTCAAAATGCTTTTTGGCTCTGGGCCATCTGGGGATCCATCCGGGGCCCTCCTGGAGCCCCCCTGGGGGTCTCCCCGAGGCCCACCCGCAGCCCCCTCGAACCCATTGAGGGCCCCCAAGAACGCCCCAGAGGGCACCCATCAGAAGGGGTCCAAATACATGTATGTTTGGAGGGCCCGCATCAGGATGCATGGTGCAACATGAGTTTGGGCCGTTGCGCGGGCCACGCCGGTGCCCTCTTGGAGCCGTCTTGGGCCGCGCTGGGGCTGTCCTGCGGCCCCGAGGATGCCCCGAGAGAACCCCGAGAGAGTCCCAAGGAGGCTCCTGCAAGCGACATTTGCATGCACACTTTTACGTCGTATTGTTTCCGCGTGCTCCCTTGAAGCAAGAGGGTAAGGTTTTCCTCGATGTGGCATGCATTGCCGTCTGCCCCACGGCGCGGCGTCGTGCTCAACAACAACGTCCCCCGCCATGCCATTGCGGTTGCATGATGCACCGTGCACCTTGACCTGGGGCCCACTGGGGGTCGGCCTGGAGCCCTCTCGGAGCTCTTTTGGGGGCCTCAGAAGACATTTTTTTTCGGAGCCTCGTTGCGGCTTCGGGGGGGGGGGGGGGCTCGCCCAGCTCGCTCGAGGGAAACCGCGAGCTCCGGAGTCCGACCGCCAGCATCAATCGTCTGGCAACCCCCGCATATCCTAACATTCTCGGTAACCTAGGAAAGCGGGGCCCCGGGCGTCAGCCGAAATCGACGGCGAGTTGTTGTCAAATCCCTGCAATTTCCGCGAGGGGCCACTGTCGAGCATTGATTCTGAGACAAACACAAAACGCACGCGAGTGGTTAAGATGATCGAGTCAACAGTAGCACCGAAAAGTGTCAGCGGGCAATCATCTGTTTCCTCTAGTTGCGAAGCCGCTCGCGCCCCAAGATGCAGATGCGATGGTGCCGCATCTGAAAACATTGTAGACGCACGCGCAAGAATGGCAGCGATGCTCCCATTGCTCCTTCGCCAATTCCGCCAAACAAGCACGCATTCCGACTCGATCGAGGAAGCTGCGCGGCACACTTGCTGCACTTCATGACTTCTGTTTGCGAATTCCTTTGGGGCGGCGCCGGTCGTGCCCCGAGAGCGCTTCGCGCGTGGGCAATTCATTTTGCTCGAGTCTGCAGCCAACGCACGCGCGAACCGCATTGACCTCGAAAACGCAAAACTCGTTACGCAAGGGTATGGTTAGCTAGGGGTCGGTGTGGCCGCCCCTGAACTATACATTCTGGTCCACGACTTCCGTGAAGTAGTCCGCCTGCGTCTGTCGATACTTTTCCTATTGCCTTTGATTGCGGGTGAACCTGGCCTAGATATCCCCAAGGACCTCCGGGAGTGGGGCGGCGTCTATACCTTCGGATGGACCTTGTTCGCCACGCTGGCTGCAATCTTGGTATCCCGATGGATGGGATCATCAGATGCTGAATATGATGTGGTTGCTGCCGACGTCTCTGTACCCGCCTGCTTAGTGTCCGCCAGCGAAATGGACGCATCACGCCACGGGGAACCAGCAGCATCATCTGATGCCACCAGATTCGGCGCCTTCCAATGCCGCCCGCGCTGCCACCACCAATCTTTATTCAAAGCCACCGAAGCACTACATTGCCCGCGCGTCCAACTACGTCCTGGTGGAATAGAAAGCGCCTGCGAGCTGCACGACTGAGAGCCCATTGACCCCCGCCGCCTTTCTTGGGCAGCTTCCCACATGTCGCAACAAAATCGTCTCTCTCGTGCCACTCTGATGTACACCCGTATGTTTGAAATATGCGGTGCTGACATTCCTCGCCAGCTGGCGCCTCAGGCGCAGTCGGCGATGCCAAGCGGGCTCGTGCCCGTAGCGCACGGTGGCGCTGGGTACACCCAGAGAGACGCAACAGCAGCATCAGTTCAGCAATCGCGGCAGGTGGTTGGGGGCGGCCGTGTTGACGCATACGGGAAAAGCCCAATGCCTGCAACACCCCTCCAAGGGATCGAGCCCCTCGTCCTCCTCTTCCTCCTTATCCTCCTCCTCCTCCTCCTCCTCCTCCTCCTCCTCCTCCTCCTCCTCCTCCTCCTCCAACACATCCTCCACATCCTCATGATGTTACTCCGCCTCCTCCTCCCCATCACCTCCTCCTGCTTGTCCTCGTTTACATGTTCCTTCTCCTCCTCCTCCTCCACCTATCCCTAGTCCAACTCCGAATACAATTCCAACTTATATCCATATTATTGTTCTTAGTCCTATTCCTAACCTATCACATTTCCAACTTGTAGTTCTACGCCTACCCCTATTCCTACTCCTGTTCCTATTCCGATTCCGATTCCTATTCCTAGTCAGATCCCTACTCCTACTCCTACTCCGATTCCGATTCCGAGCACTATTCCCATTCATACTCCTATTCCTATTCCTCTTCCTATTCCTAGTTCGATTCCTACTCCTACTCCGAATCCGATGTCCCATTCCTATTCCTAGTCCGATTCCAACTCATATTTCTATTCCTCCTCCTGCTCCTCCTCTTCCTCCTCCTTGTCCCCCTACTCTGCCTATTCCTTTTTCCTCCTCGTCATCCTCCTTCTCCTCCTCCTTCTCCTCCTCCTCGTGTGCCCGTTCCTCCTCCTCCTCCTCCTCCTCCTCCTCCTCCTCCTCCTCCTCCTCCTCCTCCTCCTCCCCCTCCTCCTCCTCCTCCTCCTCCTCCTCCTCCTCCTCCTCCTCCTCCTCCTCCTCCTCCCTCTTCGTCGTCGACCTCCTATTCCCGGCCCCCGCGTGCGTTTCCCCGATCCTTGAGCGCGGCGCGGAAGAGGCGCAGGGCCTCGCTGCGCAGCACGCCCGTGCTGCTCGGGGTGCCCAGCAGCGATACGGAGCGCAGCCGGGGCGTCTGGCCGCCCTCGAGTGCGGAGAGGAAGCCGCGGGCGGTGTCCTCCCAGGGGCCTTTCCCTTGTTTTTCTGCTTCGTTATCTTATAGATAATTCCTTCTTGCTGCACCCTGAGGCCAATCGGAAGGGCAGGCCAGGCGTTTCACCTGAGTGTTAACAAAGGTGTGGTTTTCTGCGTGTGGCTCTCGCCGCAGCGCCGCGTATACTGGTCTCAAAAAGCCCAACAACTTCACGGATTGAAGCCGGGTGATTGTCAAATGTGGCTTTCGCTGTAACGCCGCGCACACTCGTCTTACAAATGATCGATGAGCTTCGCGGATTGAGGGTGGGCCGTCTTCTTAATGTGGCTCTCGCCGTAGCGCCGCACACAGTCGTTTAGAAACATTGGAAGGGCTTCGCGGGTTCCCATGGCTAGCGTACTGAAGCTGGCGTTGTGGAAGGACTCAGGACTGTCAAGGCGCCGGCGGCGGGGCCGAGACTGGCTGCGTGCAGCTGATTTCGCACCCCCCCTTTGTGGAATGTACGGGGGTAACTGTATGGGATACAAAGAGACACGAAGTACAAATGGGGGGACCCGTGCTAAGAGAGAGCACGTTCTTTTTCCTTTTACGGGGCTCGCGCGCGCCCGCGGCCAGCGCACCAAGTAACTCAAGGGCCCTGCGAGCCAGAGCAGCGGCAGGGCAAGGGAGGTGAGACCGAGGCGCAGGACAGCGAGAGGCGGGAGTATGTCCAACGACCACACCCTTTGCCCTATCCTCCCCCCCTTCGTCCGACCCGATCCTCCCAGATGCCCGCCCGCAGCAGGGCCTCCATGATGACCACGCCGCCGTAGCCGTGGCCGACGGCGTGCATCTCGAACTCCCCGAGGCGTTCATACATGAAGCGCGCGACGTCCTTTTGGGCGTGGCTTAATGGGGGGGTCACAAATTGGGGGGTCAGAAAAGGTCCCCTGTCGTGCCCCTTTCGGGCCCCTCCAGAGACCCAGGGGGCTCGTTTAGGTACCGTTTGGGTACCTTTTCGGACCACCCTCGCCACCCCCCCACTTATGACCCCCCCATTGCGCGGCGCCCGATCCTTCTCGAAGGAAACGTCCGCTTCCGGAGGCCCGCGCGGATTTCTCGGGCCGGCGACGCCCCCCACCACCCCTGGCGGCGCCTCCGGCGGCGCCCCCGGCGCGCTCCGAAGCACCGCGCGGACCCCCGAAAGTTCTGTCCATGCCGTCATATATTCAGGGGGGCGTGGCGAAAGGGGGGGCCAGCTCAGAGGGGGGGTTGGGAACACCGATCCCGAATCGGCGATGCATCGCCGATACATCGGCTTCGGGCCCTCGATGGCGAAACCGCAAGCTCTGGGGCGGGCCGGGCCTATCGGGCACCCATCGGCGACGAGTGGGCGTCTGGAGGCCCCCCCCCCGAGCATGTGCATAAACTTCCCCCCGATCGCAGCCCCCGAGTTTCTTTCCGCGTCCTGGGCGTCGCCCACGTTGGCCCTCATGGAGGTGCGGTTCGGCATGCCGCGCGTCAGCTGGTCGTAAAGGATCGGCAGTTCAAAGGCGGGGCCCTGCGGGGTGGTGCCCCAGAGAGCGAGAGCCTTCGGACAGTGCAAGCTCGGCCTGGGACCCCCTCACGTCTTTTCAAACCCCATCCCTAAGAGCCCCGCTTTGAACCGCCGGAAGGAAACACGTGCACCCCTCGCGGCACAGCCGCCACGCCAGCGGTTCCAGGAGGCTGGCGGCGTTGGCGAGCCCAGGGCCGTCGTGCAGCAACAGCACCGCTGGCCGCAGGCGCGGCAGGTCCATCGGCTGGTCGCGGCTCGCCCCTCCTGTCGGACGGAGCAGGACCAGTTCGAGACAACTCAGTGAGGAAAAGCAGAAACCACCTCCACGGACAACCCACCGGGGGAGGTCCCACCCCCTGGCGGTGGCGCGCCCGAGCGTCACCCCGTGCTGGGTGACGCTCGGGCGTGTCACCGCCCAAGTACCTCCCCCGATGAGTTCTCGGTGGCAGCGTGGGCTCTCAACAACGGCAGCCCTCCCTGGCGCTTCTCGTCCTTACTGGGTTACCCGGAGGCTTCGTGCCGACACAGCTGGATCCGACTCGAAAGCTGAGTCAGGATGCACCTCGGAGGCTTCTCGTCGCCACGGCTGGATCGGCCTCGGAAATCCCGCCAGCCCTCTCGGCGTAGGTGATTTAACGAACTTGTGTTTTATTTCTGTTACAATTCCTCATTCCCCAGCATGGGGGAAAGGTTTAACGCTGTTCCCTATTCGTATACCCCCCTCCCCCAGGCGACTGACAGCCAACAAGGAACAATGAGAAGAAACTGCATGATGGGCACCCCCTACCATCCCTGTCGAAAAACTTTACACAATACTCCTTGGGGCAAGGTCCAGAATCATGTTCGTGGAGCCCACGAGCACTTTGTATCGTTTTTGTCACGCACGGCGGGGGTGTCAGCATATTGTCTGCTGCGCGCAAGGCTACCATCCCTGACAAAAACCATGCAATGCACCTCGCGGCTAAATGCGGATCATGCGCGGCCACCCCGCGATCGCTGTCAAGTGGTGGCGTATGACCTGCTGCGCGCAGGCCCACTAGACACAATTATGGGCACTGGTATTCGACATGGGTGGTGGGGGCCGACACGTTTCCCGATGTGTCCTGTCACGTGCACACGCGCACCTGACGCGCTCTGCGTGCCCCGAACGTGGCGACCCCAGAGGCGCGTCGTAGCCACGGCTTGAGCCGCTTCGAAAACTCGGGCGGGCGGTAATGGGCGGTGACCCAACATGGGATGTGAAGTAAAGGGCCCTACCAAGGGCCCTGTAGGGCCCCTTTTGGAGCCAGCTGGTGCCCACAAGGGGCCCTCAAGAGGCCCCGGTTGGAGCCAGTTGGTGCCCAGAAGGGGCCCTGAAGAGCCTCTTTAGGGCCCTTTCCTTCACCCCCCATCTGGGCCATCCGCATTGCCACCCGCCCGAAAAACAGCGTCAGGATGGACCCCGGCAGGGGTCCAGGACCGATTCTGAGCGGACCTGGGCCGGGCTGTGGGATTCGGGAATCTTCTGACCCGGGTCACTCCAAACCAGGGTACGGTAAGTCAGGCCTTGCAGCATCCTGCAAAATCCTGCACCCCAACCCGGGTCCATGCGAAGGATCCTGCAGAATCCTGCAGGATCCTGCACCCAAGCCCAGGTCAATGCGACCCTGTCCCTGCAGGATCCTGCAAGATCGGACGCCCTGGCTGACCCCCGTTTGCATTGACCCCCGTCTCAACCGACCAGCCACAACTGCTGGAGCTGTGGTCCTTACCCCCCTAGGAGAATTAACCCATCGCACCGACGATCTCTCCAGAGGAGTGTCGAAGTCCATGGGTCCCCCCAGGGGGGTAAATACCACAGCTCCCCCAGTTGTGGCTGGCCTGCTCAAGGCTCCCAAGGAATGCCGCCCGGGGCTCGACCGCCCCCCCCCCGCCCGCCCGCTCCTATAAGCCGCCTCAGCCGCACGCTCTGCGCGCCGCCGCGCACCGGCACCTGGAACTCCGACACATCGAGGCCGGGCGGAGCGGACAAGTCCCCGCCAGCGGCCTGAAGGGGGGGAACGGCTGAGGGGCGCGGCCTGAGTCGGGCTGGGCGAAAGGGGGGGATAGCAAAGAAGGGGGGGTCTGAGAATCAGCTCACGTAATTAGCTGACTTTCCCGGCGCCTCCCGGCGCCGGAGGCGGCCGTGTATCGAGGAATGGGCCCGGCGGCGGGGCCGAAACCAGCTGCATGCAGCAGATTTCGTCGCCCCCCTTTCCCTATCCCCCCCCTTCTCGTCCGGCCCGATACAGGGCCGATGAGCTGTGCGCCGTGCCACCCCTGGGTCGAAGACCGCCAACGCCTCGGGATGGGCCAACGCGGTGCGGTGCACACATGAAGGGGCCCTGGGACACACAAATAAATACACACAAATAGCAGGACTCCCCATACGTACTTCCCTCGGCCCGACTAACAGGCCCTCTCGCTCGGCCCGACTACGAGGCTCAGGCCGCGCCCCTCAAATCCGCCACTCGGGGCACGGCTCCAGGCTCAGGCGGAGGCCCGAGGCTCAGGCCGTGCCCCTGCCGAGGCCCTCCGCAGGGAGATACTGAAGGGCCCAAGGACACACAACAAAACACACACACAAATAGAAAGATTCCCCATATCTTCCCATGTGTTCTGGGTGTTTGTCTTCCCGCCCAGTTCCCATATCTTCCCACACGTATTTTCCTGGGGATCGACGATTCCTTGTGTCTGTGTGCGTTTTCTAAAACAAGGCTAGGATCGGGATGTATCGCTCCAGAGCGTTCCGGAGCGCTCTCAGAGCGTTCCGGAACGCTCTGGAGCGGCCGCGGCGCCGAATACATCCTCCGAACCCGCCGATTCTCAGAGATTTCGTGTCATCCCGATCCGATTTTGTCCCGATCTTCGCGTCGTGTTACTCTTGCGTGTAGTGGAACTGACCCTGCTTTCCAAGGTCTGGTTCTGCTTTCGAGCCGTCGCTCGGGCCTCCAGCGGCCATGTTCGGGAGGATCCGGGCGCCCCCCCGGAGGCCGCCCCTTTGAGGCGAGGCGCGGGCGCCCGAGGGGATGGCGAGGCTTGGGGAGGTCGCCGGGGGCCGAGGGAAGCGCCGGGAGGCCTCGCGCTTCGGAGCTCGAGGCTGCGGGATTCGAGGCCGGGGCCTGGCCCTCACAGCGTCTCAGAGCCCCGAATCATCAGGGGTAACTCGGGCCAGGGCTAACTCGGGTTCGCTTTTCGGGATTCGGAACCTGATTTTGTCCCGATCTTCGCGTCGTTTTATTTTCCCCCCCTGAGATAGGACCGTCGGCCTCCTCCTCTCCTCCCCCTCCCCCTCCTCCTCCTCCCCCTCCCCCTCCTCCTCCTCCTCCTCCTCCTCCTCCTCCTCCTCCTCCTCCTCCTCCTCCTTAGGACCGTCGGCCCGGAGAGTCCGCGGCACGGCGCCGCCGCATCGGCGAGGGGCCCCCCGTGGCAGGCAGGCAGGTCGCCGCCCGCTCTCCCCGGGCGGGGCGGGCCGCCGGGCCCCGGAAGAGTCCTCGGCCCTCCCGGGCGATCGGGCACCGACGCGCGCCACCTCGGAGCCCTTCCCCCCCCCCCCTCCTCCTCCTCCTCCTCCTCCTCCTCCTCCTCCTCCTCCTCCTCCTCCTCCTCCTCCTCCTCCTCCTCCTCCTCCTTCTCCTCCTCCTCCTCCTCCTCCTCCTCCTCCTCCTCCTCCTCCTCCTCCTCCCTCCTCCTCCTCTTCCTCTTCCTCCTCTCCTCCTCCTCCTCCTCCTCCTCCTCTTCCTCCTCCTCCCTCCTCCTCCTCCTCCTCCTCCTCCTCCTCCTCCTCCTCCTCCTCCTCCTCCTCCCTTCTCCTCCTCTTCCTCTTCCCCCCCTCCTTCTCCTCCTCCTCCTCCTCCTCCTTCCTCCTCCTCCTCCTCCAGTGAAGTCCGACCGTAGACCCCCCAAGCGCCCACTCATCGCTGGTGGGGGCCCCACGTTTCGACTCTCGTAGGGGAACAAGAAGTGGCATAAACGTAAGAACTCGGAGGTCCGCGCGGATTTCTCGGGTCGGCGCTGGGCCCCCCCCCCTCCCCCGGGCGGCGCCTCCGGCGCCGCCCCTGGCGCGCTCCGCGCGCCAGGGAGGGGGGTCCAACGCCGATCTGAGAAATCCGCGCGGACCTCCGAGCTTGTATGTTTGTGTCACTTGTCGTTTCCCTATCTCACCGGGCCAGGGACCTTCTCTTCCTCCTCCTCCTCCCCCTCTCCTCCCAGCTTTTGACACGTCTCGCACGGCATGAATCCAGGCGCCTCAGATCCTAGAGGCCATGGCCTCACCCACCTGGTCTGCTCTGGGCCCGGACGCTGTCCGCAACGGTGGTCGCATCGCATCGCATCGCACCCCACGTGTCGACGATCCTCAGACCGTGCGCTCGCGCCCGCATGTGCTTGCCCGCCGAAGCCCGCCAGCGCGATGCAGGCGGCGTAAGAAGGGCCGACGCGAGCTGCGCGGCGTCGGCGGCGCCGAACGGAGCAGCGCGCGCACGCGCGCACGCGCGCGCACACACTGGACCAGCGCGCGGTCCGACGACCACCGAACGTGGCCCCCTGACAGCCTCGACCCGCCGAGCCACCCGCCCCCGGCGCGGCCGCGGCAGCTGCCGGCGGCCCGCACCTCGGGCGTTGATCAACCAGGCCTACACCCTGCGAAATGCTTAAGAAATCATGGGTTAAGAAATTCACAGTCTCAGAACTTGAATAAAAACCCATCATTTCTATTCAAATCTTAAGATTTACATTAGGTAATAATCGAGACTCTGGCATAACCGAGACTCTGGCAGAAAACTTAGGTTTTCTTAAGCATCGCCTAAGGTGTAGCGCAAATCAGGCTCAGCCGGATTCCGAAACACTACGCTGCAATCTTTGGCGGGGCTTCCCAGCCCCGGCTGCGCACTGCCACCTCCAGGGCAGCGGGCGGCTCCCAAACCTGGCTCGGACAAGCTTTGGCTCTGCAGGATCCTGCAGGATCTGGCGCTCTGGCTGACCACCGTCAGCGCCGAGCCCCGTTCCCAGACCCCCGACGCCATGACGTGTTCAAGACGTCGGCCCCCGAAAATCTCGACCCGTTCCCCGCAACCGGCTTTCCCTCCCGACTCATGTTTCGACGGTCCAGGGGCCCGCTGAGGGCCCCCAGAGGCCGAAGATGGCGAAAAAGTGCCCGTCGTGATCTTTTCATGACCCGAGTGTAGTGAAGGGGAACTGGGACACACAAATAAATACACACAAATAAAATTGTTCCCCATATTTTCCTATATTTTCTGGGTTTTTGTCTTCCAGCCCACTTCCCATATTTTCCCATATTTTCCGGGGAATCGACGATTAATTGTGTCTGTGTGTTTTTTCCCCTCCTGATGTAGGACGAGAGCGGTGTCACGACAGGATTGGCTCCGGATGCGCCCCATGGTCTCCCGAGCATCCGGCGGCCCTCGCTTCTCGGGGGACTCTCGGCAGCCCACCCCCAGTGCACCCTGGGAGTCCTGCTCACCGTGACCCCTCTGCTCCTCTCAGAGGCAGTCGTTGGTTTGGACGCCCGAAATGGGTACTGAAGGAATGGGCACAATGCCCAACAGCAAATGTTGTCCCAAACCAACAGCGGCCGCTGTCGGGCAGGCGGCCTTCTGTCTCAAATGGACACGGGCCGCGGCGACACCGACAGCGAGTCCTGTTCAAAATGAAAAGGAATTGCTGTTGGGCATTGTACCCATTCTTTCCGTACCCATTTCGGGCGTCCAGAATTGGGCGCGCCCCGCGCGCCCCAGCGGCCGCGGCGCCCCGCGGCCGCGGCGCCCGAGGCCCGGGGCCGCAGGCCGCGGCCCGCGGCCAGCGCCGCGGCAGCCGACGCCCACAGCGGGCGGGCGCCCGGGGCGGCCGCACCGCCCGGGGCGGGCGCGGCGGGGCGCCGGGCGGCGGCGCCCGCGCGCGGGGCCGCGGCGTGCGCGCGGGGGCGCGGCGGCACCAGCGCGAGGGCCAGGCAGCGCCGAGGGGGGGGCCGCCGCCAGGGAGGGGGGGGGGCCACGCGCTCCCGCAGCGGGCGGGCCGGCCCCGCGGGCCACCCGAGGAGCCCCCCAGGGCCCCGCAGGAGGCCCGAGATCGTCCGAGGCTTCCTCACGATCCTCGATATCCTCGATCCTCGATCTCCGGGAGATGAACGCCCCTTGTGGTGGCCCCCCCTGGCACTGCCTGAGGAGGGCGCTGTGGAGGGCACGGTCCATTCTGGAGTGCGGGGCGGGCGGCCGGGAGCCAAAACGGTCTCTGGGAACAGAGTGGCACCAGCGCAAAAAAAGAAATCTCGGCCAAAAGGGCACATCCGCGTTCGCTCGGAATCGGCACCCAGACGCCTGCTGGAAGCAGCCCCGGCGAGGTCTTCTTCGAGCTGCGCCCAGCAGCGGCCCCGAGAGGCGCCCCCGAGCAGGGCACAGCCAGGCCAGCGGTGGGCACAGAGGGAGTTGCCTGAGTGCCACTGGAACCACCAAAGCACTGACCTGACAATCAGCCGTGGAACAGCCGCCCCAGGACCACAGTGAGTCAGGCCAGTACTTGGGTTTCCTAAGCAGCACCTAAAGGGACTCGGCCGACCCGCGCGCTGACCAGACACCTGTTCAGATCCCGAGCTAAGCTCACAGCGGCTCAAAAGGCTTCGTCGTCGGACTTCGGACATTGCCTATCGCTGAAGCCTGGGCTGGCTCAGCTGCTTTCGCAAATCATGACTTCTTCGCCCTGACCTGTGCCTGGGCCCCGTAACGACCAGCTTCCCGAAATTCTGGAAAGGCCCCCCAGAGGCTCAGAGCATGTGCAGACGCTCAAAGAGGTCGTCGTCGTCGACGCCGTCGTCGTCGTGGGCGCCGCCGCCGTCGTCGTCGTCGTCGTCGTCGTCGTCGCGGCCATTGTCGTCGTCGTCGTCGTCGACGTCACCGTCGTCGTCGTCGTGGTCGTCGTCGCCGTCGTCACCGCCGTCACCGACGCCGTCGTCGCCGTCGTCGTCATCGCCGCCGTCGTCGTGGTCGTCGTCGTCCTCGTCGCCGTCGTCGTCGTCGACGTCGCCGTCACCGTCGTCGTCGTCGTTGTCGTCGTCGTGGTCGTCGTCGTCGTCGCCGTCGTCGTCGTCGTCGTCGTCGCCGCCGCCGCCGCCGCCACCGCCGTCGTCGTCGTCGTCGTCGTCGTCGGCGCCGTCGTCGTCGTCGTCGTCGCCGTCACCACCGTCGTCGACGTCTGCAACGCCGCCGCCGCCGTCGTCGTCGTCATCGCCGTCACCGTCGACATTGTCGTCACCGCCGTCGTCGAGGGCGTCGTTGTTGCCGCCGCCGCCGCCGTCATCGTCGCCGTCATCGTCGCCGCCTCTGCCGCCGTCGCCGTCGTCGTGGTCGTCGCCGTCACCGTCGTAGCCGCCGTCGTCGTCGCCGTCGACGACGTCGTCGTCGTCATCGACGTCGTGGTCGTCGTCCTCGTCGTGGTCGTCGCTGCCGCCACCGCCGGCGCCGCCGCCGTCGTCGTCGACGTCAAACTTGTCGTCGTCGTCGTCGTCGCCGTCGCCGTCGTGGTTGTCGTCATCGCTGTCGCCGCCGCCGCTGTCGTCGTTCTCGTCGCCGTCATTCCGTCGTCGTCGCCGCCGCCGTCGCTGTCGTCGTCGTCGTCGTCGCCGCCGCCCCCATCGTTGTCGTTGTCGTCGCCGTCGTCGTCGTCGTCGTCGCCGTCGTCGTCGTCGTCGTCGTCGCCGTCGTCGTCGTCGTCGTCGTCGCCATCGTGGTCGTCGACGTCGTGTCGCCGTCGTCGTCGTCGTCGGCGGCGCAGCCGCCGCCGTCGTCGTCGCCTTCGTCGTCGTCGTCTTCGGCGCCGCTGCCGCCGCCATCGTCGTCATCGTCGTCACCGCCGTCACCGTCGTCGTCGCCGTCGTCGATGCCGTCGCCGTCGTCGTCGTCGACGTCGTCACCGCCGTCACCGTCGTCGTAGTCGTCGTCGTCATCGCCGTCACCGTCGTCGTCGCCGTCGTCGCCGTCGCCGTCGCCATCGTCGACGTCGTCGTCGTCATCGCCGACGTCGTCGTCGTCGTTGTCGGCGCCGCCGTCGTCGTCGTCGCCATTGTCGCCGTCACCGTCGTCGTCGTCGTCGTCGTCGTCGTCGGCGTCGTCGTCGCCACCGCCGCCGCCGCCGTCGTCATCGTCGTCGCCGTCATCGTTCTCGTCGCCGTCGTCGTCGTCGCCGTCGTCGTCGTCGCCGTCGTCGTCTTCGTCGTCGTCGCCGTCGTCGGCGTCGTCGCCGGCCTCGTCGTCGTCGTCGTCGCCGTCGTCGCCGTCGCCGTCGTCGTCGTCGACGACGTCGTTGTCGCCGCCGCCGCCGCCGTCGTCCTCGTGGTCGCCGTCATCGTCGTCGCCGTCGCCCCCGCCGCCGTCGTCGTCGTCGCTGTCGTCGTGGTCGTCGTCGCCGTCGCCGTGGTCGTCGTTGCCAGCGCCGCCGTAGTCGTCGTCGACGCAGACGCCGCCGTCGTAGTCGTCGTCGCCGTCGACGCCGTCGTCGTCGTCGTCGTCGTCGTCGTCGTCGTCGCCTTCGTCGTCGCCACCGTCGCCGTCCGTCGCCACCGCGGTCGTCGTCGCAATCATCGTCGTCGTCGTCATCGCCGACGCCGTTTCCGTCGTCGTCGACGGCCGTCGTCGCCGTCACCGTTGTCGTCGTCGCCGTCGTTGTCGTCGTCGGCGTCGTCGCCGTCACCGTCAACGCCGTCATCGTCGTCGCCGCCGCCGTCGTCGTCGTCGTCGTCGCCGTCGCCGCCGCCGTCGTCGTCGTCGTCGCCATCGTCGTCGTCGTCGTCGCCGCCGCCGCCACCGTCGTCGTCGTGGTCGTTATTGTCGTCGTCGTCGCCGTCACCGTCGTCGTCGTCGTCGTCGTCGCCGTCGCCGTCGCCATCGTCGCCGCCGTCGTCGTCGTCGTCGTCGTCGTCGTCGGCCGTCGTCGTCGTCGCCGTCGCTGTCGCCGTCGTCGTCGTCGCCGTCGCCCTCGCCGTCGCCGTCGTCGACGTCGTCGTGGTCGTGATCGTCGTCGTCGTCGTGTTCGCCGTCGTCGTCGTCGTCGCCGTCACCGTCGTCGTCGTCGCCGCCGCCGCCGACGCCGCTGCCGCAGCCGCGGTCGTCGTCGTCGTCGTCGTCGTCGTCGTCGTCGCGGCAGCCGCCGCCGCCGCCGCCACCGTCGTCGTCGTCGTCGTCGTCGTCGTCGTCGCCGACATCGTCGTCGTCGTCGCGGGCGTCGTCTTCGTCGTCGTCGATGTCGCCGTCGCCGCCACCGCCGCCGTCCGTCGCCGCCGCGGTCGTCGTCGCAGTCACCGTCGTCGTCGTCGTCATCGCCGACGCAGTTTCCGTCGTTGTCGTCGCCGTCGTTGTCGTCGTGGTCGTCGTCGCTGTCGCCGTCGTCGTCGTCGTCGCCGCCGTCGTCGTCGCCGTCGTCGCCGCAGCCGCCACCGTCGTCGCCGCCGTCACCGTCGTTGTCGTCGCCGTCGCCGTCGCCGTCGTCGTCGGCGTCGTCGCCGACGACGCCCCCGCAGCCGCAGCCGTCGTCATCGTCGTCGTCGTTGTCGTCGACGCCGTCGTCGTCGTCGTCGTCGTCGTTGCCGGCGCCTTGGTCGTCGTCGTCGTCGCCCTCGTCACCGACGCCGCCGCCGCCGTCGTCGTCATCGACGTCGTCGCCGCCGACGCAGCCCCCGCCACCGCCGTCGTCGTCGTCGTCGTCGTCGCCATCGTCGTCGTCGTCATCGCCGACGTCGTCGTCGTCGCTGCCACCGCCGTCGTCGTCGTCGTCGCCGGCGCCGCCGCCGCCGTCGTCGCTATCGTCGTCGTCGTTGCCGTCGCAATCGTCGCCGCCGACGCCGCCGCCGTCGTCGTCGCCATCGTCGTCGTCGTCGTCGCCGTCGCTGTCGTCGTCACTGTCGTCGCCGCCGCCGCAATCGTCGTCGTCATCGTCGTCGTCGACATGTCGTCGTCGTCGCCGTCGCCGTCGTCGTCGGCGTCGCCGTCGTTGTTGTTATCGTCGTCGTCGTCGCCGTCGTCGCCATCGCCGTCGCCGTCGCCGTCATCGTCGCCGCCATCGTCGTCACCGCCGTCGCCATCGTTGTCGACGTCACCCCCGTCGTCGTCGTCGTTGTCGCCATCGTCGTCGTCGTCGTCGTCGCCGTTGTTGTCATCGTTGCCGTCGCCGCCGTCGTAATCGTCGTCGTCGCCGCCACCGCCGTCGTCGTCGCCGTCGTCGTCATCATCGTCGTCATCACCGCCGTCACAGTCGTCGTCATCGTCGCCGTCGACGGCCGTCGTCGCCGTCGTCGTCGTCGCGGGCGTCGTCGTCGTCGTGGCCGCCGCCGCCGCCGTCGTCGTCGTCGTCGTCGCCGTCGTCGTCGCCGTCGTTGTTGTTGTCGTCGTCGTCATCGCCGTCGTCGTCGTCGCCGTTGCCATCGCCGTCGTCGCCGTGGCCGTCGTCGTCGTCGTCGTTATCGTCGCGTCGCCGCCGCCGTTTCCGCCGTCGTCGTCGTCGTCGTCGCAATCGTCGCCGCCATCACCATCGCCGTCGTCGTCGTCGTCGACGTCGTCGCGGTCGTCGTCGTCGTCGTCGTCGCCGCCGCCACCGCCGCCGTCGCCGTCGCAATCGTCGTCACCATCGTCGCCGTCGTCGCAGTCGTCGTCGTCGTCGCCGTCGTCGCCATCGCCGTCGCCGTCGCCGTCGTCGTAGTCGTCGCGTCGCCGCCGCCGCTTCCGTCGTCGTCGTCGTCGTCGTCGCCGTCGTCGCCATCGCCGTCGCCGTCGCCGTCGTCGTAGTCGTCGCGTCGCCGCCGCCGCTTCCGTCGTCGTCGCCGTCGTCGCCATCGCCGTCGCCGTCGCCGTCGTCGTCGTCGTCGTCGCCGCCGCCGTCGTCGCCGTCGCCGTCGGCGGCCGCGGCGCGGCGGCGGCGGGAAGGCGGATGGCTGCTGATCCCCGCTGCCGCCCGCGGCCGAGGTCGCGAGTCGAGGCGCCGGCGCCGCGCGGGCCGCCTGCGCCCCGGGCAGGGGAACAAAAAAAACGCGGCCCCCGCCGGGCAGCCCCGGCGGGGTCTGCGGGGCCCGGCCGGGCGCTGCAGCGCTCCAGGCTTCTGCCGGGCGTGTCCCCCAGACAGGGGGGATCTTCGACGAAAGATAGACAAGACATGCCCCAAAAGAGTGCCCCAAAAAGGGGACAAAAAGACCCCCAAAACACAGTCCCCAGACTATTTTTTTGACTATTCTTGAACATTCCCCCGGTAGAGGGACAGGCCCGACTCAACTCGGCTACACGCAAGAGTGACCCTGTGTAAGAGTGACCTTTGGTGCGCGGCTTTTTGGGGGCCGCGGGGGGACCAAACCTGGGCGCGCAAGCCGCTGCTCCTGCTTCGTTTTCAGCCATCTGGGGGGCCCACCTGTGCCCGCACCAAAGGCCGCTCCGGCGAAAGGTCACTCTTACGTCTAATCGATCAACTCCAGGGCCAGGGTGCTCCCGGCTCCTCGCGCCAATGGCGCGAGGCTCCTGGGGCCCGGTGGGCCTCGCGAGGAGCGCTCCGGAGGCCAGCTGCGCCTCCCTGGGGAAGCTGGGGGGCACCCTGGGCTTAAGTCGGGCGTGTCCCCCTACAGGGGGATTTTCGACGGGGGAAAAAAAAATACAAAAAATGCCCCCAAATGGTCAAAAAAAATACTCGACTAATAGTCCCCAGACTATTTCGTTTTACTATTTTTGGATTTCCTCCCTGTAGAGGGACAAGCCCGACTCAACCCTGGGCCCGGGCCGCTTCCAGCAGCGCCCGATCGAGGAACGACGCGCCGCGTCCATCGTGCGGTCCCAAATTACACTGGGGAGAGGGAGGGTATCCAGATGTCTGGAGGCTCCAAAACATCGGGCCCAAGTTTGGGCGCCTCTTCGGTCTGGAGCCAGTTTCGGGCCCCCGGACTGTCAGCTAGATGGCAGGGAGTGCGAGGCGGGGACACCATCGCTTGGGGATCGAGCCGCGGGGACGTCGGCAGGCGGCGGACGCGGACACACTTGCCCCCAAGGGGCCCAAATATAACGATGTCCGCAGCCTGCCGAGGTCCCCGAAGCTCGATCCCTCGATCCCCCAAGCGGCGGTTGTCGATGAATCCCCGCTTCGGAGGGGAGGGATCGAGAGATCCAAGATTCCGGCACTGAAATCATCGAGTCGTCGCAGGTCCAAGGCGTGCACCACCACCAGGCACCCTCGATCCAATCCTGGGCCTGGACCCTGGTGTAGGATCGGTTTCTGGCCTGGCTAGGGAGCCACCACTCTACACACCAAAAGCAGACCTGCGGATACCTGGTAGCAAAATCGTTCAATACCGAATCAGGGAATCGGATCGCCCCAGAATGTGCGTCGGATCGGGCTGCATCGGCACGGAGTTCAAATCGGATCTCATCGGCTGCGCCAGGGTGCACATCAGCGCCGTGCAAGCATCGGACTGAATCGGATCGTCTGAATCTCGAAATCGAATCGGATCGAACTGGCCGGAATCGACATCGGATCGGATCGCATCCGGTCGAAAGGGGGCAAATATGTGTATACTCTTCCCTCTCCCAATAATACACGCCGCATCCGTGTCACTGGACACGATGCTGGATTCGACACCACGGCATCGTAGCGTCAAGTGGCAGCTGACCCAGCGCCTGGCGATCGGGGAGGAGCGACGCACAGCGCTGCAAGCACGAGCGCCACCGGTGCAATCGGCATTGCCGCGTACGCGATAGACATCTCCCCGGCACGGTTTGTCCTCCCAATCCTGTGCCGCGTACTCTCCAGCGCGTAGACAGCGTTTGCGAGGAAACCACCACAGGGTCGTGACGGCTCCAATGCTCGCTCGCCAGAGCAAACCGGCCAACACTCCTTGTCCTCAATCTTGAAGTGCCGCCCGCTCAAGTTGTACGATGTGCCTGAGAAGGGAAACATCTATGTGACGGAATCTCTGCGTTCGCGCCGGGGGAGCGGCGGGCAGCAGGGAGATCGTTGGGGAAGGGGAGCGGGTCAGGAATACTTTACATGTCTTCCTCAACAACAATACACCAGCTGCGATCATGGCCAGACATTTGGGCCCAGGATCGCTGCATACGCCCTCCTGGCTCCGCCAATATATGTATTGCCGCAACTGAAGACAGAGGGCATCCGAGAGGACACAATAATCGACCGAGGACAACGCCCAAAAAACATACGGCACAAAAAGGAACGGATGGAAAGGACCTAGAAACGTCGTTGATGTTGCAAGGTCGACCCTGCTCATCGGCCGCGATTGGCATACAAGAAACTGGGTCCAATACTGGCCTTGCCAGAGTCGGTGCACCAAAACTCCGACGTCGTGATTGTTTCAACATGCGGCCCCGGAAATCCCGACCCCTTCCTTGGCGACGGCTGTTCATCCCAGATTATGTTCCCCACATCCTAAGCATGGGGTTATTGTTGTTAGTGGAGCGCCTGCACATCCTCACTTGCTAGCGTATACCCTCTCTATCTTGTTCTCTCTATCTCTCTCTCTCTCTCTCTCTTCCTCTTCCTTTGTTTTTTGTGACACTCAGATCACTGCTACTCAGACCCACTCACACCCATATACGCTCACACTCAGACTCATCACACTCAGATCACTGATGCTCAGACGCACTAGCACTGACATACACTCACAATCATACAATCAAGGACTGACCACAACGATGTTGCCAACGCGTTGGCGTTTAGATCGAAAACGACAACGAATCCGAACGTTGGCAACGAAACGTTCAAAACGATACGGTTGCACACGATAACGAAAACGAAACTATGTTGCCATTCAGCGAGGCAGACAAACGAAACACGAGACGAATTCCGCAAATCTCGTTGGAAAACAAAACTGAAAACGAAACGATGGCATCGAAAGATAGCTGAGGACGGGGCAGCATTGGATGGGGTTTGCTGCTAGGGCGAACGTCAAGGGCAAAATTCTGACTGGGGCCCGACGCGAACGAAACGACAACAGAAAACTGACCAACAACGACACGGAAAAACGAATCAGGGTTGCGGCGAGGGCTGCAAGGCCAGGGCTAGGGCGAGGGGCGGAGTTCCGTTTGAGGCTCATGCGAAAACAATCGGAACAGCACAAAAAAACGAAACGAACAACTAACCAGGGCTGCGGCGAGGGCTACAGGGCCAGGGCTAAGGCGAGGGGCGAGGTATCGTTTGAGGCTCGTGCGAACACGAACGAACAACGAAACGAAACACGAACCAAGGCTGCGGCGAAGGGCTTCAAGGCCAGGGCCAGGTCCAGGGACGGGGTCCCGTATGAGGCTTGCGCGAAACCAGCGAACAACACAACGAAAGCCGAATCAAGGCTGCGGCGACGGCTGCAGGGACGGGGCTAAGGCGATGGGCGAGGTACCGTTTGAAGCTCGTGCGAAAACAAACGCAGGACGAAGAGAAACACGGACCAGGGTTGCGGCGAGGGCTACAGGGCCAGGGCGAGGGACGACGTTCCATTTGAGGCTCGTGCGAAAACAAGCGAAGAACGGAACGAAAAACGAACCAAGGTTGCGGCGAGGGATACCGGGCCAGGGCGTGGGCAAGGGACGAGGTCCCGTCTGAAGCCTCCGCGAAAACAAGCGAACAACGAAACGAACAACCATAGCTGCGGCGAGGGCCGCAGGGCAAGGGCTAAGGCGACGGGCGAGATCCCTTTGAGGCTCGTGCGAAAACAAGCGAACAACGGAACGAAAAACGAACCAAAGTTGCGGCGAGGGATACAGGGCCAGGGCTAGGGCGAGGGACGGGGTCCCGTATGAGGCTTGCGCGAAACCAGCGAACAACACAACGAAAGCCGAATCAAGGCTGCGGCGACGGCTGCAGGGACGGGGCTAAGGCGATGGGCGAGGTACCGTTTGAAGCTCGTGCGAAAACAAACGCAGGACGAAGAGAAACACGGACCAGGGTTGCGGCGAGGGCTACAGGGCCAGGGCGAGGGACGACGTTCCATTTGAGGCTCGTGCGAAAACAAGCGAAGAACGGAACGAAAAACGAACCAAGGTTGCGGCGAGGGATACCGGGCCAGGGCGTGGGCAAGGGACGAGGTCCCGTTTGAAGCCTCCGCGAAAACAAGCGAACAACGAAACGAACAACCATAGCTGCGGCGAGGGCCGCAGGGCAAGGGCTAAGGCGACGGGCGAGATCCCTTTGAGGCTCGTGCGAAAACAAGCGAACAACGGAACGAAAAACGAACCAAAGTTGCGGCGAGGGATGCAGGGCCAGGGCTAGGGCGAGGGACGGGGTCCCGTATGAGGCTTGCGCGAAACCAGCGAACAACACAACGAAAGCCGAATCAAGGCTGCGGCGACGGCTGCAGGGACGGGGCTAAGGCGATGGGCGAGGTACCGTTTGAAGCTCGTGCGAAAACAAACGCAGGACGAAGAGAAACACGGACCAGGGTTGCGGCGAGGGCTACAGGGCCAGGGCGAGGGACGACGTTCCATTTGAGGCTCGTGCGAAAACAAGCGAAGAACGGAACGAAAAACGAACCAAGGTTGCGGCGAGGGATACCGGGCCAGGGCGTGGGCAAGGGACGAGGTCCCGTTTGAAGCCTCCGCGAAAACAAGCGAACAACGAAACGAACAACCATAGCTGCGGCGAGGGCCGCAGGGCAAGGGCTAAGGCGACGGGCGAGATCCCTTTGAGGCTCGTGCGAAAACAAGCGAACAACGGAACGAAACACGAACCAAAGTTGCGGCGAGGGATACAGGGCCAGGGCTAGGGCGAGGGACGAGGTCCCGTTTGAGGCTTGCGCGAAAACAAACGGAGAGGGTGGGGGAAACGAGCTAGGGCTGCGGCAAGGGCTACATGGCCTGGGCTAAGGCGAGGGGCGAGGAGTCTAGAGCCCTGGAGTCTAGGGCCCTGGAGACTAGGGCCCGGGGGGTCTGGGGCCTTGGAGTCTAAGGCCCAGGCGTCTGAGGCTCTGGATTCAGGGCCCAAGAATCCAGGTCCTTGGAGCCTAGGGCCTTCATCTAAGGCCCAAGATCCTGGGCCCAGGAATCTACAGCCCAGGAGTCCGGGGCCTCACTGATCTGGGGCCCTGGAGTCCAAGGCCCTGGGATCCAGGGCGTGGGAGCCGAGGGCCCAGGAGCCCCAGGGCCCTGGGGTTCAGGGCCCAGGGGCCTGGCGCACAGGAATCTGTAGCCTGGGAGTCTAGGACCCGGGCGTCTGAAGCCCCGAGACCACGTCCACGGCCCTGGGGTCTGAGGCCCACGAGTCCAGCGTCCAGGAGTCGAGGGCCCTGGAGTCCAGGGCTGTGGATTCTGGGGCCCAGGAGTCTGGGGCCCTGGAGGGAGTCTCGGGCCCTGGAGCCTCGGGCCCAGGGCGCAGGAGTGGCCCTGGAGCGGGGGGGGTAGAGGATTCCAGGGCCCTGGAGCACAGAGTCTAGGCGTCCCAGGCCCTGGGGTCTCAGGCCCACGAGCCGAAGGAGTCGAAGGCCTTGGAGTCTAGGGCCCAGCTATGGCCCTGGAGTCTGAAGCCCTGGAATCTAGGGCCCTGGAGCCTCTAGGGCCCAGGAGTCTGGGGCCCTGGGGTCGAGGGCCCTGGAGTCTAGGGCCTTGGAGTCTACAGGACCTTGGATCCATAGGAATTCCAAAGGATTCCCAAGGATTCCTGAAGATTCCTGGGATTTCCAAAGGAGTCCTAAGGACTTCTAAAGATTCTGAAGGATTCCGACGGATTCCGAGAGATTTCGAAGGATTCATTCGGATTCCTAAGGGCACCCAAAGATCCCAAAGGAGTCCTAGGAATTCTGGGGGATTCGCATGAATTCCTAAGGATTCCAAAGGATTCCTATGTATTGGATTCCGAATGATTCCTAGGAGTTCCTAAGGATTCCTACTAATTCCTAAGGGTTCCGAGGTATCCCTAAGGATTCCAAAGGATTCGAACGGATTCCAATGGATTCCTAAGAGTTCTAATGGATTGATCAGGATTTTTCCGAGAACCGTCAGAGAAAACCAAATTTTCATGTTGGGATCCCAGCTGCATGACGAGTCTGGCGGTTGAACGCCAGAGAGATGTTGGGGGCCGCGAAATCCCTCCTGCAAAGTATCCAGATTCACTGAGACGCCGCTACGTCGTCGTCCTCCTCCTCCTCCTCCTCCTCCTCCTCCACCTCGGAGATTACGTATGTCTCTCTCGCTCTCTCTCTCTCTCTCTCTCTCTTTCTCGCTTTTCTAGGGCACCGCAAGAACACCAGCCGCCGCCCTGCAGCGCCATGTACGGGAAGCCCGCACACGCAACCCTGCAGCTCTCAGAGCTGTGCCCCCAGCCGATCCTGCGCGGGGCTCGAGGCCAAGACGAAACCGAAAGCAGGATGAGATCGGACCAGGACAAGTCGAAGATCTCTGAGATCCGGCGGGTCTGGAAGATGCGTGGGGCGCTGCGGCCGTTCCAAAGCGCTCCAAAACGCTCTGAGACTATTCCGGAACGCTCTGGAACGATGTATCCTGGTCCTAGACCTGGGGGGCCGACCCCATTCAGATTGAAGCAGCCAAAACGGACGATCAAAACAGGTCGACGCAGCTGGTTGTCAGTGTCAGACTAACGGTTCGCCCCCTGCGGGACATGTCTGAGCCAAGCTGACTAGTCACTGACGATGTGCACGCAAACGAGCATGGAAACATTGCCCAAACACGTCAGCAAGAAAACGGATTGACTAACACATGCGGTTTAAACTGTTCAATTACCGGCGATTTCTACCGCGCTCGAGGATCAAGATCCGAGGTTGTTGTTGACGTGTCTGGCATGTCCTCAAGCGTTCTCGTAGCCACGGCTCGATCCGCCTCGAAGTTCTAGCGCAACGCACACATGGAGAGGTTCAGGGGCCGATTATCGAGGGAAGCAGACCCATACCTCTGAGAGAGCGCGTTTCACGGGCGCTTGCCTTGGGAACATTCGGCGGCGCGTTTCGAACCAGGGGGGGCCCCCCCCCCCCAACACTCGGCGCCGTCGATCATAACCCCACCCCACCCCCACCCCCTCCCGAACTCCCCCCCCCGCCTCCCAGGGGGGGGGGGGGGGGAGGCAAAACCCGCCCCCCACCCCCTCCATGCGCTGGCGCCTGCGCCGGCGCTGGCGGCCGCCAACAGCGCCGACAGCGGGGACGCAGCAACGAGGGTCAAACCCCCCCCCGCGCCGGCGACGGCGGGGATGCAACGACGATTACCACCACTACCACCACCACTACCACCACCACCACCACCACCTCAACCCACCACCACCACCAACCCACCACACAACCACCACCACCACCACAGCCACCACCACCACAACACACAACCACCAGCGCCACCACACCACCAACAAACCACCACCACCACCATCACCACCACCACCACCACCACCGCCCACCATCACAACCACCACCACCACCACCACCAAACCACCACAACACCACAACCACCACAACCACCACCACCGCCACCACCACTACCACAACCCACCACTACCACCACCACCGTCGTTTTCGTCGACGCTCCCCGCCGCCGCCCGCCGCCGCCGCAGGCGCCGCGGCGCCGGCCCAGAAAAGGAAGTCGTCGTCCCCGCCGCCGCCAGCCGCCGCCGACGCAGGCGCGGCGCCGGCCCGAGGGAGAGAGGAGAAGTAGGGGAGGCGGGGGGGGTCGAACCCCCCCCCCCCTCCGTCACGGGAGGGTGGGGGGGTCGAACCCCCCCCCCATCCAGGGGGGGGGTCCGGTTCCAAACCCTCCCCCCCTCCAAGCGACCACAGAACGCGCTCTTTCAGACCTCTGAAGGATCAAACTTTTGAGCCCTGGTGGCTTCTCAGGATCTTCGGCCTCCAAAGACCTCGTTCGGGCCCCAGGGCCATCAAAACAGGAATCCAGGACGGGGGCGGCCTTTGCAGAGTGGAGGCGGTCAACATGGGGCCAGCGCAGGTGGGGTCGCAGGATCGCCCCGGATCCTCCTCCAGAGCCTCGGAGGCCCAAGAGGTCTCTGGAGGCTCCTGGAGATCTTCGAACGCCCCAGCGAGGTCTCCCCGCCGCGAGAGCCCCGAGGCCCCGGGAGGTCCCCACGAAGCCCCAGAGGGCCAACAACATCTGTGTGAGGAGCGTCGACAAAAACGGCGAGAACCTCTGCGCGCCGCCGAGGTCCCCTTCGAGAGGCCGCGCTGCGAGTCCACGGCCAGCGAGTCGGGGGCGAAGCAGCCGACCCACTGCACCTCGTCCCCGGCGCCTTGGCCCGTGGCGTTGCCCCGCCGGGAGGAGCCGGCGTCGGGAGCGTCTCCCCCGCGGCGCTGCCTCTGCAGGCGCTCGCTGAGGCTGGTCACCACCTTGCTGACGAGCTCCTCTCGGGGTCGCCAGGGGCACGCTCGTGGCCCGACGTGTCCCCACAACCTCTCGCGCCACTCTGGATCCTGGTCCTGGGGACGCCTTGCCAAAGCCACCTCTGGCAACACCCGATCCTGGACAGCTCGTGTTACTCTCCCTCCACATCCCTAATCTCCTCTTCTCCCTCCTCCCCTCCTCCTCCTCCCTCCTCCTCCTCCCTCCTCCCTCTTCCTCATCCTCCTCCAACTCCTCCAAGCCATCCAATTCCTCCTCCTCCGCCTACTACGACTACGACTACGACTACTACTACTACTACTACTACTACTACTACTACTACTACTACTACTACTACTACTACTACTACTACTACTACTACTACTACTACTACTACTACTACTACTACTACTACTACTACTACTACTACTACTACTACTACTACTACTACTACTACTACTACTACTACTACTAACTACTACTACTACTACTACTACTACTACTACTACTACTACTACTACTACTACTACTACTACTACTACTACTACTACTACGACTACTACGACTACTAAGACTACTACGACTACTACGACTACTACGATTACGACGACTACTACGACTACTACGACTACTACGACTACTACGACTACTACTACTACTACTACTACTACTAC